TAGTAACAAGAACGCTACTAGGAACAAGTGCCTTACTAGTAGTAACAAGTGCCTTACTAGTAGTAACAAGAACGCTACGAACGGGGCTCCTGGCCTTACTAGTAGTAACAAGAAGCTATTACTTTAGTTTAATTTAATTCTAATAGCTTTTTGTTATTACTAGTAAGGCACTTGTTATTACTAGCGTGGCACCTGTTACTAGTAGCTTCTTGTTACTACTAGTAAGGCACTTGTTATTACTAGCGATGCACTTGTTCCTAGTAGCTTCTTGTTACTACTAGTAAGGCACTTGTTACTAGAAGCGTGGCACCTGTTACTACTAGCTTTCACTAATCCTTTCACTCTCCGTGAGGACTCCATGAGCATCGTCCAGGAGTTCTGGGCTTCGGCGCCGAAGGCGTTACCATTGAAGCTCGAGAGTCTTCTGGCTGTGCAGCTCGACCGAGAAAGCGTTCAGGTTCGCAGCGTTTTTTTGTAACTTGGAGGCCATTGCTACTAGCAAGGGCATCGCTACTAGTAGCTCCTGGCATCGCTACTAGTAACAAGAAGCTACTGGTAACAAAGGGCATCGCTACTAGGAGCAAGGACGCTTCTAGGTTGTCCTTGCTCCTAGGTTGGAGGCCATTGCTATCAGGTTGGAGGCCATTGCAATTAACCTCAAGTTGTGGCCTGGTAGGAAGCGACGATTGTTCTTTTTCGACGAAAGTTCATCAGGTGGCTTTTGAACTGCTTTGAGCATAGTGAGGCAGGGCCAGTTTGTTCCAGAGTTTAGATGACAGCAATAATTATGGATCTTTTCTGATGACCACGCAGAACACATCTAGTGCCTTCTCACAGGAACCGGTGGGCTTCAGCACCTTCTTTTTGCCCGCCTTCATTTCACATGATTGCAGACCCAACTGCATGTGGCACTACGAGGGCGATTCCTTCATTTTGCGGGCCAGGACTGAAGTTTGCGTGACAATGGCCTCCAACCTACTTGCGATGGCCTCCAACCTAAAGGCGTTCTTGTTACTATCTGAAAAGCTACAGAGACTTAAGGATGATTGCTTAGCTGTGGTATCGAGTGAGATACATACAATATAATCTAGTGCGGGGTTCTCTGACTACCTCTAACAAGATAGTTGTCATCGGGACAGTTTTTGTTGCAGGCGGGACATTTCGGTGGGCGAGGAGATCACTGTGTGGCTAGGATTGAATATCCGGGTGTGTCACCGTGGCCGCTATTAGTAACTAGTAACAAGGTGCAGGTGCATCGCTACTAGTAGCTTCCTGTTACTAGTAGTAATGCACTTGTTCATAGTTCATTAGTTCATTGCAATTAGTAACATTTTAGTCTTTATAAGCCCACTCCCCTTAGTAACAATCAGAGTGTTTTTGTTCGTAGTAGCAAGATGTTGTCAAATCCAAGACCCAAGATGAGCATAGTAGTCTTCTTTTTTGTAGAAAAACATTTTTCCCACATTCGTCTATTTGCTAGACCCGTGGACCACTTCCCTTGTTTTTCCCTACTTGTTCTTGTTTGTAGACATGTTCTTGAAGCATGTGTGGTTGTCGACGCATGCGTAGGCTTTTACACGAACACTTCCAAGGACCTTCGGTCTGCTCGCACAAACAGCCCTTGCTTTCAACTGGCCGTTTCAGACAAACATGCTTCCTTATTGACCCTGCTATTAGGTTGGAGGCCATTACTAGTAGGTTGGAGATGGTGGGAGGCCATTGCTAGTAGGTTGGAGACCGTCGCTACCAGGGTGGAGGCCATTGCTATTAGGTGTCTTTGCACTCAATTGTTTTCCTGCGTGCTTTCGGAGGTCCTACTTGGCCGAGGAGTCCTTGTTGGAATCCATCACCAGTCGGCGCTCTCAGCTGGAGGAGTGGAGTGTGAACAGATGTCAGATGTGAGTGATTTACTTAAGGAACGACTTGGGTATGTTCAACGTGCTGTTTTGTCCTTTCATGTTATCATACACATCACAAGAAGTTGAGCTTTGCAGGCCACGAAGCACTTTATTTGCAATTGCAGCAGCTGCTCTTCAAGTTTGGATCCAGTCCGCGGCTTCAAATGCTTAGGCAACCAAGCAAGCACAGTTGTTTTGATTGAACAAACATCTGGGCACTCTTCCGGTTTACTGTGGCTCTTTGTCTAAAGGCTGGGGTACGGCAGTTTGCAGATTTTACATGAACCCTACTAGTTTCTTGTTACTAGTGGCCTCGAACCTACTAGCGGCCTCCCGAAGTCTGTCGGCAGGCTGCCAGGAAGGGGAGATTTTCTTTGAATTTGATGACCGGATCAGGCGCTCGCGGCGCTGACCGTGTTCAGGGCACATTTGAGGTTTGTGGCGTAGAAACACATGCTCTTTATGGGTTTTTCTCTAGGAGCAAGGACGCTACTAGGGGCTCCTGGCATCGCTACTAGCAACAAGAAGCTACTAGAAGGGTTTCTTTCTTTAGACATGTTATTTTTAAAGGCCCATTTCTTCTTCCCGTTTGTTTGATTTAGATTGTTTCCCCCTTGTCTTTAGACCGTTCTTTGAGGTGGACATGTTTTCAAAGACATGTTTTTCATCCCTTTGACATGTGTTTAAAGACATGTATTTCAACCGTTTTTTGTTTTTTTTGACTGTTCTTCATGTCTTCCTTTGTGGAGTGGTGAAGTTGGGTGGCGTCGTTCTGCAGTTTTGCTTGATTTTCCGTTCTTTGAGAGGCCATCAACGGAGGGCGCTTGCCGGCAGTGCGGCTTCTTAGCCACTTCGTCGCAAGCCGAAGAGCTAGTGGCGCAAGAGGCTAAAGTGGAAGAGTGCCTTGGCAGATTTGCGATGGCATCTACTAATTGAATTTAGATTGAAAGCGATGGCCTCCAACCTAATCTACTAATTGCTTCCAAAGCCACTGCTCAACAGACGTTTAGTGCAATATGACTTAGACCGCTTCGTACATTTCAACAATTGGATTCAAGGGAGCTTCTCTTTTTAAACCAGAAAGGGTCCATCCCCCGGCAGCTTTTAGAGAGAGAATGGACACCGTGTGACATGTTGTGACACAGCGTCCGAACGCTCCAAGTAGCGGTGCCCTTTGTTACTAGTAGTAAGGCCAGGAGCGCCCCTAGTAGCGTCCTTGCTCCTAGGATGGTCTTTTTTTGTTGTTGAGGTATATTCAGCAGTGGGACAGAAAAGAAGGAAGTGCAGCTGCCTACTTGACAGAGGCTACGACTGAACGGGCTAGGTGGAATGGACCATGCACCTCGGTCATTGACCCTTTGGCGAGAATGTATTTACTTCATGTTTCTTATTCTTTGTAACATTAATTCTCGGTGTTCTGCCAATGCATAGCGGAGTTTTAGCTCTATGACTCACAAGGGTGTTTAAATTCTATGGTTTCTTTAATCAAATGTTGTCTACTAGATGCAAACAACTTGTCGTTATGAAGGGACCCTTTCAGACCCCGTGTGCATTCTTCAAACCAATCACGCCCTGCTCCAAGAAACAGTCTTGAGACATACGCTACTAGGAGCAAGAAGCTACTAGGGGCTCCTGGCCTTACTACTAGGAGCAAGGACGCTACTAGGGGCTCCTGGCATTGCTACTAGGAGCAAGGACGCTATCACTCCCGGATTGAAGGAATCAGGTTCAGGACGACGGTAGGAGAACTTACACAAGAGGCCAGCCCTGCTCACGCCTTCTTACAACAAAGGTAGATTTGTAGGAAACATTTTTTGATCTGTTGGTTTTTGCGTTCTATTTGCGAAGAATGCTTGCTGTAAGATTTTGTGGCACTCCTGCCTCGGGGAATTGACATCAGCATAAATCAGCCAAATGAATAGTGAAAACATGTGAAACCGTGTTTTTGCCAAAGGAAGTTCCTTGAAGAAGCGTGAGCTATCCTGCGCCCGGTAGCTAGTAGAATTAGTTCATTGAGTGGGCACCTGCTTGATTAAGTAGTAGAGGCGCAAAAAGACACAGACAAAGACTAGTAGCTTCTTGTTACTAGTAGCGATGGCCTCCAACCTAATAGCGATGGTCTAGCTACTAGTAGCTTCTAGCTACTAGGGCCACCTTGTCAGCTCTTGGAGGACATTGCTGAACGCCTGGAGGAGAACATGGCTCAGCTCTTCTCTGAGAAGCATTGGCTTCGAGATCGCGTGGCCAGGTGGGGTGAGAGAATTTAGAACCTGTTCTTCAAGGTCCAAAGCAAAAGACCCGTCTAAAGGCTGGTACAAGTTGAAACCGAAAAAAGACGAAGGCATTCTTCCAGACAGTCGTTGGAGAACCCCCTTCTTTAGAACGAGCTATAAAATGCTAGCAGAATGAAGACGCCTGTGCCAAATCCGGAGTAGAGCTGTGCCATTCTGGACGGACTGAGGGTATCCATACCTGTTGACCAAAGCAAACGTGATGTGTTGCAGTCTCTGCATCAGGCATCTTGTGGCTTTCTACGAGGTGCTCTGTTGTTGCACTTTGCGAGTGGCATTGCAGGAGCTTGTCACACATTATGGCACTTCTAAAGGCAGATTGACTGAGTTTCTTTAGGTTGGAGGCCATTGCTAGTAGCTTGAGTGAGCTTCTTCAAGCTTCTATTGACGTCAGGCAGCAGGTGATGCAGCCTCAGCCTTGTCTTTTGCGAAGCGGTGCGCCAACTTCACCGCAGAGGCGATGCGGATTTAAGAATATGAATCCTTCATGTTGCAAAATAAAGCCTTGTTCCTAGTAGCGCCAATTTTACAACTCATTAGCGTCCTTGCTCCTAGTAGCGATGCCAGGAGCCCCTAGTAGCGTCCTTGTTCCTAGTAGTAAGGCCAGGAGCCCCTAGTAGCGTCCTTGTTCCTAGTAGTTCATGTTGCTGACTAGTAGCACTCAGTCACAATCGCAGTCGTAGGGGCAGTCCTAGTCGCACTCGTCCTAGATTCTAGATAGCCGACTTCGAACCCTGTCTTTTGGGAGATTGGCATTGCATGATTCTTGTCAATTTGTGTTTGTGTGCTTCTTCAAGGAAGCATGAGCTATCCTGCGTCCAGTAGCGAGCTTACTCCCTTAATTAAGCCGGCGCCTACTAGCGGGCAAAGAAATCACAGGAATGCCATCGCGGGTAGGTTGGAGGCCATCGCTACTAGGAACAAGAACGCTACTAGGAGCAAAGGGCATCGCTACTAGGAACAAGAAGCTACTAGGGGCTCCTGGCCTTACTATTAGGAGCAAAGATGCTATTAGTAACAAGTGCATCGCTTCTAGTAACAAGTGCCTTACTAGTAGTAACAAGGATGCTAGTAGTAGCAAGTAGCTAAAGAAGCAGCTTGGTGCCAGGTGTATCCAGGTTTCAGTGCGCTGCAGGCATGGTCTTTGGAGACCCAGGCTCGTCAGGGCGACAATCTGGTAGAACGTCCTAGCTCGTCCCATTCCAGGTCATGAAACGCAAGATGAGAAAAAATCAAAAGAATAAAGAACAGAAATTAAGAAAGGTCCACGAAAAGTAGAGAACGAAAAGGCCCAAAAGAGTTTAAGAGTCTAAAGAAAAAGCTCAAAAAAACCTTTAAAGAAACAGAATAGAAAAGAACAAAGACAAACAACACGTAACATAAAGCTATTAGGAACAAGTGCATCGCTTCTAGTAACAAGTGCCTTACTAGTAGTAACAAGAAGCTACTAGGAACAAGTGCATCGCTTCTAGTAACAAGTGCCTTACTAGTAGTAACAAGAAGCTAATAGAAACAAGTGTATCTTTTCACCTCGTCAGGGTGACCTGGAGCTGCGCCTCGCGGGCTTTGCCGTTGGACCGGACTCGGTGTCTTTCGACCGAGGCGCAGGCGACAACGGGTCTCGTGTTGACACGCTCACGTTTTTGTTACTAGTAGCGTCCTTGCTCCTAGTAGCGATGCCCTTGTTACTAGTAGCTTCTGTGTTACTAGTAGTAAGAATGCTCCTAGTAGCGATGCCAGGAGCTCCTAGTAGCTTCTTGCTCCTAGTGTCGACGCAAAAAAAACGGCCTCCAACCTAGCGATGGCCAGCGTGCCATGGATTCGAACACCGAGAGTCGACATTTTTTCGACTCGAGTTTTCAGATGATATTGTGATGCTGAGTGACTTGCTGAGTGATTTTTCTAAACTTTTCAACTTCTCAACTTGAAAGAACACCCTTCTTTTCTTCGCAAGTCCTGAAATTCCATCGACCAGAAAGGTCTCCCTTTTCGAAGCCGTTCATACGTTGAATCGAGGGGTCGGTCACTGGCATTCCCCCAAGGCCTTTTGCAGGTACTTGTGGGTTCCAGTCGTGAGTGGCAAAAAGACCGGCCACAGAAATACACGTAGCTGCAGCATGTTTGTTTTGTGACAAATGCGAGTAGTAGGACATTGTTTCTTATGCCCTTGCCGTAGCATCTTGATTCTTGATTCCCAGTGAAGGAAGCCAACAGAGTGCAACAAAGCGAAATGAAGACTCCAAATTCTCAACGAATTCATCAGACAAGTCCTGTTTGGCCATCGCTATTATATGCTATTATTAGGTTGGAGGCCATTCCCATTAGTTAAGTTTCCCTAAGAAGCGTGAGCTATCCTGCATCCATACTAGTAGCGTCGTAGTAAGGTACTAGCGACTTCCGTTTGCTACTACTAGCTACCTACCTCAAAAATGCGGCCTACCCCCCGTAGAAAGCTTCTTGTTCCTAGTAAGACCAGGAGCCCCTAGTAGCTTCTTGTTACTACTAGTAAGGCACTTGTTACTAGAAGCGATGCGCTTGTTCCTACTGTAATAGCTTCTTGTTCCTACCCCCACTGTGTTTTTACAAAGTCGCCTATTTTGTGTTTCTCTTGGTGCATTGTCTGCCTCGCGGGTGCCTTGCCCTGCAGGTGCAGCGAAGGACACTGCGTTGGACACTGCGTCGCAGGTCTGCTCCGTTTACGAAGCCTCCACTGAAGCCTTAGAGGCTCTCTTCGGCCTCGACCATGAATTCGTGGTAGCTTGGCATATTTGCACCAGGTACGAAAGATGATACAACTTGTGATACAAGTAGTGATACAATGTGTTCTTGTTGAGGCAAGAAAGGAGGGAAGGGAAAGATGGGTTTATAACATCCCTAAATTGAAGTACTTCGTGAAGACCTGAGCTCTGCTTCCCTAGAAAGCTGCCTAAGTTCACTTCTTATTAAGCAAAAAGACCATCAATCAAGGACAACATCAATAAGGAAGAACAAATGACAAGTAGTACCGGGCATAGTGTTACGTGCTGATATTTTGGTCTTTTGTTGGACAAGAGAGGCGTTTGCCAAGACACAAGTTTAACGTCGAGTCATGCGAGGTTGCAATCCGAGAGAAGCGCGATGCTTTGAGACGCATTGTGACGCTGCGGCGTGACACATCCGGTAAAAAAATTGATGAGGCCATCGCTGAATCTCAGGCTATCTGTTGGATACAACTTTGCGTTCATTTAATTAACGTAGGTACACAATGCATTTCTGTCATTACATCCTTCTTTGAGACCACTTGAGACCTGTCCTTTTTCTGCTGTTCTTTTTCAACTTTTTTTTCCATGTAACGGGAGTATAAGCATCAGAAAACTGATCCACACGGTTTGACTGCAAGTTGAGGCCCAAGCACCAAAGCACAGATAGGCAATCAGATAGCAATCGAATAGCAATATGAACTCATGAGCTGTGCAAAACATGCAGACTTTTTCAGTTTCGTTCGTTCCTTTTCGATTTTTCTTTTACCGTGTTGACCAGTCATGGTCGGCCCAATGGTGCTTCAGTTGTCTGAAGATCCTTCTGACTCAGTCATTGAAAGGTCAGGAAAACATGAAGCACTTGAGCATTGTGTTGGGCAGATCCGGTGCTTGATCGAGAAGCTTCTTGAACATCAAGGGGTCGAAGGGTTTTTAGCCCATCCGCCGAGTCCAAACGCCTTCTCAGACAACTCGGAACCAAATGTCGATTCTCTCTTTTCTCTGCCCAAAGTGCTGGCTCCTGTTGAAGAGCCACCAGAGCTGGTGAAGGAAACAGAAAGTCCAGACTTGGAAACTCACGCAGTGATGCAATGTCGAAGTGTCAAGTCTGGCGCTTCCCACCGATCTGCAGAACAAGCAGTGTCGGAGCATGTCCCCTCCAGTGAGAGGGGCGAAGGGCTCCGGGGACAGACACGTCGTGTCAGCACAGCGGGTCTTTCAGTTCTATCTGTGCCCTCACAGAATGCCCGAGGTCGGAAAGGGTGAAAAGATGGGAAAAAGCTAGTAGTAACAGGTGCCACGCTAGTAATAACAAGTGCCTTAGTAATAACAAAAAGCTATTAGAATTAAACTAAACTAAAGTAATAGTTTCTTGTACTACTAGTAAGGCACCTGTTACTACTAGCGTGGCACTTGTTCCTAATATATGTATAAGAAACTCTTTTTATGTGGGATATATTTAGTCGTAAATCAAGAGGACAAGAAAAAAGGATAAGAAAGGTTCACAAGAAAAGATCGTTCAGAAGAAAGACCTCATGGGGCCTGTTAGGGTCCCTTTTCTCCCTTCACTACTAGGCCTTTGCTACTGTATTAGGTTGGAGGCCATTGCTATTGGACACTCACAAGATAGTATTTTTTTCAATAAACACAATGAAACATGACGTTGCTCCAGGTGGAGGTCGGAAACGAGATCGCACCATCACTGGAATGAGCACTCGCTGCAAGGTGTCTAGCTCTCCAGATGATCGTCGCTTTGAAGTGCGAGAAGGGTGGGACATGATGAACGGTTCTTTCTTCGTGAAGACCTTTCAACCGACTTTCTACAGTTCAGAGAATGGACGCGGATCGCTTTCAACAAGGATGGATCGCTTTCGACGAATTTGGGCTGGGATAGCCGTCTTCCTCATCGCACGTGATTGCATCGCGGTTCCTTTGATGCCGTTTGGAACAGATTTCAGTTTTTGGTCTTTGGAGATCTTGGCCGCGATCTTTTGGACCTTCAATCTTCCCATCAGTTGCTTCTTAGCTCGCTCCAAAGCCACTGTTTGGTGGCTATTCTTGACACAGACGTTTGTGGATCTGGCATTGTTGGCTCCAACCTACGTGGATTTGCTTTCAATTGGGACTTATTCAAGCGTGCAAGTGTGGCTCAGGATCCTCCAATTGGGCCGGGTACTTCAGGTGCCTCATTGGTACCGCATCACTGGTATGGCCGGCCAAGTGAGGGAGTGGCTACGTCACCGTAGCCGAGAGTTTAGAGCTTGCTGGAATGGAATGTGGTTGATGGTCTTGGGCGGCATGTTTCTTCATGCTGTGACCTGTGCTTGGTTCTTTATCGGTAATTTCCCAGAGGGCTGGGTGCATGAGGAGCAAGGATTCGAAGGTGAAACTTGGCTTCAGCAGTACATCCGGAGCTTTGAGTGGGCAATTTCAAGGCTACCCCCCTCACATCTTCCTGAAAACATGCAACTCAAGACCAGGGCTGAGCGCTTCTTAGCAATGTTTGGTACTGCTTCGATGATGCTCTTTGGGGCCATTATCACTTCTATCGTCACCAATGACATGTCAGATATTCGTCGAGTCCGGAGGGAGAACAAAGAGGCGGAGTTTCAAGTTCTGGATTTCTCCTGGAACTTTTCGATTGGCTACGACCTGCAGGACAAGGCGATGGGGCTATTTGTTTATTGAGCCCGCTCCCCCTCCTCCCTACTTAATTAAGTAGGCGCGATTAAGTCAGTAAGGGAGAGGTAGCTATTGTAGTACCTTCAAGTAGCTACTACTTCGGATGCAGGAAGCGCTCGCACTAATGATTTGGTTCCTAGAATTTTAGGGAAACTTAACATTCTAACGTTTTAAATAGTCCCAGTATCTAGTGACTCAACTGACTGATGGATTCCTATTCACTATCCCTTGCTTTACGGTGTTTGTACCTGCCGCACATGGAGTCTCGAGTCTAGAAAGGAGTCGTGTGGAGGATGGGGTAGCCGTTCGGTAGTGTCGACTCCTTCTGTGACTCCAACCTAAGAGCGATGGCCTCCAACCTAACAGTGATGGCCTCCAACCTAAGAGCGATGGCCTCCAACCTAAGAGCGATGGCCTCCAACCTAAGAGCATTGGCCTCCAAACTAAGAGGGATGGATGGCCTCCAACCTAAGAGGGATGGCCTCCAACCTAAGAGCGATAGCCTCCAACCTAAAAGCGATGGTCGCAAGAGCGTTCGCAGGGAATTTGTTGGCTGTCCCCGGCTGAAAATGTTGCTGTCAATTCACGATTTTGGTAGACGTGTGCTTCCAGGACAACTTTTCTTGTATTTGCTAGTCAAGGCTACTCACCGCAGCGGAGTAGTATCGGATATATACGAATGCTTGGCCATTTTTTCAGGTACAGAGATATTTGCAGCTCAGCGCTTTGAGGGTGCGCCAGCCAGGTAAGAAGGAGATGAAAGCGGTCTTGCCCGAATATCTATTTGGTGAACTTTGTCGAGAGGCCTTTAGTCCCATTGTGCAACACCATCAGCTGTTTCAGGCGTCCAGACATGGATTTCGTACTCGTTTGTGTTTCTTTGTTTTCGTTAGACCTTCTTCTTTCATATTAACAAGAAGCTACTAGGAACAAGTGCCTCGCTTCTAGTAACAAGTGCCTTGCTAGTAGTAACAAGAAGCTATTAGTTATTTATTTTAATCTTAGTTTAATTCTAATAGCTTATTGTTACTACTAGTAAGGCACTTGTTACTACTAGTAAGGCGCTTGTTACTAGTAGCGATGCACTTGTTACTACTTGCACAACACTGTCAGTTTCAGGCCCTGTCCGGGAGACATCCGGGATTTCACTATAACCTTTGTACTCGTTGTATGGACGATTGGTATGTGGTTCCGGGTGAAGTCTTGTTCTCTGCTGGACGCAGTTGTGAGCAGATGATCTTTGTTGCCCATGGAGCTGTGAAGTACGACTCGATCATGGATTTGGAAACCGATGAGTCGTTCTCAAGGCGCTCGAAGAAGGAAACGGCGCTTGGTGCTGCCTCAAAGAAAGGTGGAGGAGTTCCTGGAGGAGTTCCTGGAGGTCCAGAACAGGAATCCAATGATGCACTTTTCCCGGTAATGCCTTCACTGGTGCGGAAAATGTCCATGGTGCATCATCAGCAGTCTGTCTTGTCGAAGACCCCAATGCGTTTGACAGCTGGAGACTGGATGTGTGAGCTTTGTTTGTGGACCAGTTGGACTTATCACGGGAAGGCTGAGGCCCGAATTCAGGAACACTTTTTTGCTAGGAGCAAGGGCATCGCTTCTAGAAACAAAGGGCATTACTACTAGCATTCTTACTACTAGTAACAAGAAACTACGCTTCTAGTAACAAGTGCCTTACTAGTAGTAACAAGAAGCTACTAGTTGGATCCTCTAAGGTATTAACTTAGAATTAGAATTAGAACTAAACTAAATTAAACGACGAATCGAAACAGCGATGGCCGACCATGCGAGGCCAGTTCAGGCAGCACCTTGTTATGTTTGAAGCCCGAGAAATTCTTGGAAGTGGTGCAAGGCCATAAGGACGCTGCGGCCGAATTGGCATACTATGCACAGGCTGTGGTGGAGGAACTGAATCAAACACCGCAGGATGAGCTTTCAGATCTCCTGCATTTTGAACTCGAAGACTGAGGGCCGTGCCGTAAGAGTGCTCAGAGCCTCTTCAGTCATTTGCAAGTCGCTCGAGCCTAATTCCTTTGTGTCTCAGGAATCAAGAAGGCTTTCTCAAGACACGAAAAAGACAACACTGCTAGGATCATGCTAGAACATAGTTGATATTGTATATTGAACTACTGGCCTTACTACTAGGAGCAAGGATGCTACTACTGCAGCTTGGCCAATTGAATCACTAGGTCCTCTGGATCACTTTATGACCAGAGACACAGCGACACTGTGTACCATTGTCCAAGGAGCCATTTTTTCATTGGTGAGTGCCAGTCCACAGAGCTAAAGGAAGCAACACCAAGGGATGTACAGCTTTTGTGAAGCGGGGTATGAACATGTATTTTGTCAATCATTAACACAGATATTCTCCATTCTCCAACAAACCGTTTGGCAAGGAACACTAGTAGGCCTTAGGTCTTAGGTTGGAGGCCATCGCTATTAGTAGCAAGAAGCTACTATTAGCAAGGTGCATCGCTACTAGAAGCTATTAGTAGCTCCTGGCACTACTCCTAGTAGCAAGAAGCTACTAATAGCTGAGGGCCTTAGGTCTTTGGTAACAGGATGTTGCTCTTAGCTGGATGCGGACCTGGTGAAGACGCGAAGCGCGTTTTGAAACCTCACCGCAGTGCAATGGCTCGCTGTTTCACCGTGCAGTCAGAGTGAAAAGGATTGGAAGTCCCCATCCCCAGAGCAGGAGCAAAGGGCATCGCTACTAGGAGCAAGGACGCTACGTTCGGGGCTCCTGGCCTTGCTACTAGGAGCAATCCCCAGCATCCCCAATTGGTGCCTTTGCAATTCTACGCTAGTAGCTGTAATTGAATGCTGAGCTATCCAAGACCCAAGTCTTCTTTTTGCTCAAAAGAACTAGATCAGTATAATAGGTAGCACACGGAATGGCATTCTGACATTCTACACCTAGGGCATTTGTGATGAGCTTGGGACAGATTTGCGACTTGCGGTGATGTTCTTGTCACGTCCAAACCTGGTGTGTTTCCTTTTGCACGTGGAATGGAATTAGACTCCCTTCACAACCGGCCTATTCGACTGTATTGAGCTCAAGAAAAAGCGAGCACCGTGTTTCACAAAATACAAGTTACAAGTAACAAAGGGCATCGCTACTAGGAGCAAGGATGCTACTTTACTATTAGTAACAAGAAGCAACACAATCCAGTTGGCGATTCTGCTCTCGACACGTTCTGATCTCCCATGTCAGCTTACGTATCTGGTGGCCGATTGAGTGGGAAAGCGTCCTTCTTGCCGAAGCTGCTGGAAGCTGCACAGGGGAGTTTGAGCATCTATGATCAACATGAGGCACTTGGGAATTGCGCCTCACACCGGACTCAAATGATGATGCATTCTCTTGTTACTACTAGTAAGGCACTTGTTACTAGAAGCGATGCACTTGTTCCTAGTAGCGAACCTTGTTACTACTAGTAAGGCACTTGTTTGATGCTGCATTCCAGTCCAGTCTCCTTTGGGACAGATAATCAATGTAATTTGTGAAGATCGTGATGGGTTTCTGGGAGAGTTAGATGGGTAAAGAATAATACAGGTTTAATCAGACGGGTTCGGGAGGGTCACTTTGTGCAGCCACAAAGTAAATAGTAGCGATGGCCTCCAACCTAAGAGCGATGGCTCCAACCTACTAGGGATGGCCTCCAACCTAAGAGCGATGGCCTCCAACCTCAGAGGGATGGCCTCCAACGTACTAGCGATGGCCTCCAACCTAAGAACCATGGCCTCCAAGCTAAGAGCGATGGCCTCCAACCTAATAATAGCGATGGCCTCCAACTTACTAGCGATCCTCCAACTGGGATAACACGACATGATCGTCATGGTGTTCCGTGCTGGTCCTCATGACGTTTTTCTTTTTTTGCATGTGTGTCTTCGATAGGAGGTCTGGCCCACGCACAGCTTTCACACATGTTCTTTTGTTTTATTTAGGCTGTTCCTGTACTGTGTCTTCTGTTACGCATTGCCTCGACCCACCGCACCCACATTGTAATCATTCAAAGGCAGTTTGCGAGTTGAACAGAATACCATTGCTATTTGCTACAGATGTTTTTTAAATGTAGCACACGCGTATGTTCTTGTTCCTATGTTTGCCAGGATTGACACATATTACATATGGCATAGATCATCATAGATCAATGAACAATTAATAACAATGAGCACATGCCTCGCACTGGCATGCTGGGCGAATTTGTTTGCGGCGCAGGATGGAAGGAGCTTGAGGTTCGTGACATATTCGCAGCTCTTCCAATTTGCCAGGCAGCTGGGTGCACGGTTGCAAGCATCTTTGGCACCACAAAGGTGGGAGAGTTGTTGAGTTGTGATGGGCGGTGTTTTGTTCTACTTATATAGTGGGTGTAGGGTCAGGGTAGCAGCTAAAATCTGTTTCCCGGCTTTGAACGAATTTAGGCTCTGGACACTCTTAAGATTAACATTCACATCACCAAACATCCAGATCGCGAACAGTCATGTTACGAAAGCGTCTCCCACAGACACTCAGATCGTGAGGAATTGACAACACAAACAGTTACATCATGTTACATCACTGGCAGTCTTTTTCACAAACACCTCACGGATACGTGGATGATCACCATTCACATCACTACACATCGCCAAGTTGGCGCTGAACCCAAAAAGACTATGGCCTCCACCCTACTAGCGATGACATACTTCGGTCCCATTGGACCCCAGTGCCGGGGACATCGAAATCAACGATGCACTTGTTCCTAGTAGCGTCCTTTGCTCCTAGTAGTAATGCCCTTGTTCCTAGTAGCTTCTTGTTACTACTAGTAAGGCACTTGTTACTAGTAGCGATGCACTTGTTCCTAGTAGCTCTTGGTACAGCTCTTGGTGTTCACCAAAATCAGGGTTCTCACCCTGAGATGACCTCACCCGATCGAGGAAACCGGCTCACCGGCACTTACCATCATTCGAATGCCGACCCACAGATTCCAAGCACATCAAAGCACAACTCAACACAACTAGGTTGGAGGCCAGCGCCAGCAGGTTCACAACACATCAATGATTGATCCGGTCTTACCCACTTCGCCATTTCCTCCAGTGTGTTCGTCTTTTCTTTCGGATTGGGCTGTTTAAGCTTAAGCACAAGCAACAGCAAGACTAGGGTATTGTTCTAGTTCGCAAGCTGCGAGAACGTAGTTGGACACAAAAGAACACCCGCCACCCCTTGAGGATTCTATTGGATCCCAACCTGCCACGCAGCGATGTGGTCCTGTGCTTTTGGGGCTGCTTGTGTGCGGGCCTGTGCCCTTGCTTTATATCCCCAGAGATTGGACATGAACTTCACGTGATGAAGAAAGCTTGCAGAGCTTTGGGTTCTCCAGTGCTTCTGTGCAAGGGAACTTCCAGAACTGCGGAACTATCCAAATGCTTCAATGCCGTGGACCTGTTGTGCTTGTCAGATTCATCCAGCCTCAAACAGCCTCCTCCACATGTACGGAAGTATGCCTTCCATGTGGTCTCTGGAGTGTCGACTGACAGTCAGCACGTCACATGTCCAGAGAGTGCAGATGGCAATATCTCAGATCTGTTCGTATGGAACTATTCACATGAAATAGTTTGGGCAAACTGCGTGGCACTCAGATCCTTTTTTGACGCAGCCAAGATAACTTCATTGAGCTGGCTGCCCATCACCTTGCCTTTCACATTGCTCATGCATTGTGCCGCGGTTTGTCACTCAGCGAACGAGATCCATGTATCTACACGCCATGGGCACAACGGACAATTCTCACCTCAGAAACTCTTGGGTTTCTTGGCTCGTCATGCCAAAGCTGCAGATCTTTTGGTGGCTGCCCCACTGATTTTTTATCGGCGGGCTGGCCCTGCATCTGTGTTGTCATCATCCTTGCCATCTGCAAGGTGGGTGTTGCTTAGCAGCAGAGACGATTGGTCAACGGAGGATTTGAGACTTTTTGATGGCGGTGACACTGGGAAGGTTGGATGTTTTCAACGACTTCTAGTAGCACCTTGGGGTTGTAGCTTGGCACATGGCACTGAGAAGAATTTGCTTTGGAGCCCTTTGCTTGGAGTAGAGCTTTGCGAGAGGGAAGCCATGTGGGCGAGAGGATTGGCAGCCTTACCTGGTTTGACGACGGATTCGGAGGACTGCAAGAAGGGATGGGCACCCGCTTGCCTCCAACCTACTTGCGATGGCCTCCACCCTACAAGCGATGGACTCCAACCTAAAAGCAAACTAAAGTCAAGACCTTCCTTTCAGATTCCTTTTCTTTCAGACAAACGCTACTAGGAGCAACGGGCATCGCTACTGGGAGCAAGGACGCCACTAGGGGCTCCTGGCCGTACTACTAGGAGCAATCCCGCTACTAGGAGCAAAGGAGCTGTCCTAGCCATGGCCTCCAAGTTACTAGCCATCGCCTCCCCTCTCTAGGACGGATGGGCCCGCGCTTCCGGAGCTTTGTGCGGAAGCTTCTTGCGCAGCTTTGAGGAACGGTTGCAGATGTCCGGCGTAGAGTACACCTCTACCGAAGTGGAAGCAGCAACGGAACAGTCTCCTGAAGTCGTATCAGGCTCATCAGTGGCTTGTGCCACCGGATCTTTGGTGATTTTCTTCGTTCCGACCAATGGATCTTTGTCTTCTCAAGGAAGTCTCTTGAAGTCTCTTGCAGGACATTTGGCCCTTACGTTGGGCATACATGCCCACCGCATCATAGCAATACCCGCCTCGAATTTCAGTCGAAGATTTGACGGTTTGCCATGCCGGGAGTTCTTTCAGAAGCTCATCCAGAGAAAAAGACTGCTGGATGAATCGAACGAGAGCTCTGAATGGAGAGATGAGGACTTGGCTAAAGAGGTTCTAAAAGAGAAAGGAACGTTGGACTCCAAAGAGCCGAGTCCGTTGCCCAGCGATTGGATCTTTGAGGAGGACTTCAAGCATGTTGCCGCACTTGAGGAAGATGAGGATGAGGATGCGCTCGAGGAGAGGATGGAAGGAGCTATGGAAGCCGAAGCTGTGGAACATCAGCGAATCTTGCTGGTCATTGTCCCTCATGCCCCTCCAAGCCAGCTGTCTCAGTCTGTGGTCTCTACCCTAAAAAGCGAACTCAGCCAGACCATGACTGTAAGAGAGGTGACCCCCACAGAAGCCTTGGCTGTAGTAGCTCGTGAAGTGTTCGAGCAACTCACAGTGGTCCACCTCCTCAATTGCTTTGACGACGTAGAAGCAGTCAGTTGCCTGATCCATCTACTCCAAGCATGGGAGAGGACCGACCATCCTAGGGTCGCCACACCTAGACATACAAGTAAGACGCGTCCGATCGCTCCTAGTAGTAAGGTCAGGAGCCCCGTTCGTAGCGTCCTATCGCTCCTAGGACTTTTTGCTAGTGCGGCTTTCTCGGTTTGTTGGGTGCATCGCCAATTTCCCTGTGAGGAAAAACCACTCGGTGGAGGACTCAGCTCAAGGAGTCGAAGATGCACATCGAAGTCGAAACAAGTCGAGTCAACTTCGAGTTTTGTGCGTCTCTCAGAAGCGACACGTCCGTGTGGCGGGAGGCCTTTGCGATCCTCGCAAGTCCTTTCTTTCGGGAGTTCTTCAGAGCGCTCAGCAGGAATTCCCATGGCTTCAGGCCTCACAGCTGGATGTGGCCCCCGGCCTGGTGCCGTCCGCTGCTGCCGCCATTGCCTTGGAGCTGAAGGCGCATGCACCAAGCGGCGAGGTCTTGCTCGACGCTGAAGGTGCCCGGCTGGTGAGGCGCTTGAGACAGGCGACCTCCGTGGTCCCTCCACGCTCGGGGCTGGTGGACTGCGTTTTGTCGGCAGGTGGGACAGGTGGTGTTGGCACAATCTGGGCCAAGCATCTCAATGCACGGTCCATCATCTTTCTTGGACGATCACCACCAAGTGCTCCAAAGGTCCAGAATCTGCTGAGACTTCACGAGAATTCAGAGATTTCCTACCTCCCAGTGGATATCTCACAGAAACGCCAGCTACAGCAAGCCCTGCGAAACTGTCCCAGTGCCACGCGCATTGACTTCGCGGCCAATTTCTGCGAATCCTTCCAAGCACCTCGACCCTTCATCAGCCTGGATGCAACAGCTATGGACTTGCCCAAATTGAAGTTGCAAGGCGCCCGGCTTTGCGTTAGCTTCTGAACCGTGGGTGTTCAAGCCATATTCAGACCCATGGTACTGCACCATTTTGAAGTGTTCTGGTAAGCAGCTTAGGTCAAGCCTTTTAGAAAGTAGGAAGCGTCGGAAGCGTGGTCGACAGTTTTGCTAACGTGAAAGATGACGAGTTGGTTTGGGCAACCATGTGCTGTGTTGAAGCAACCGGGTGAACGTTGAAACCACCGTTGAAACCCACGTCTTGGGTGCTGTCAACCGCAAGCGAAGCCGGTGGCTGAGCCGCCGGCGGTTTCTGTGATTCGGGTGGCAGACGTCCAAGAGTGAGACCTTTCGACCAAAACCGTTTTCGATTTCAATCCCGCTTTGGAGGCCGCTAGTAAGTTTGGAATCGTGTCTCACAAGGTGCGGAGAACTTTGTGGAGGTCCTTGGTGAGATTAGTAAACACCGAGCACGTGGGAAGCTCCCGAAAGTGCTCTTCACCTCCACGGCTGTCAGCATCAACGGAGCACCTCAACTGGCCAGCTACACAGCAGGTGCTCGAGCATTGGAAGCTTTTTGCAGTTGCCACTCTGCGATGCACTCATCAACGACGCACTCTTCCAAGATGGACATTCGATGTGTGGCCCTGTCAGCCTGGGATTCCATTGGAATCACTGAGAAATATCCGACATTAGCCGACGCAGCTCCCTCAGCTGGTCTGCATCTGCTTTCGCCACAGCAGGGTCTACTTGCCTTGGAGGCGGCCTTTCAATTTGCCCAGCCTCGCTTCAATGTTTTGATGATTGGACTGGACGGTGGCCATCCTCGCTTTCAGCCATTGACAGGCCAAAACGATTGTTTTTTTGACAAACAAAACGGACGGCCTCCTACTTGCGATGGCCTCCAACCTACTAGCGATCAAGAACCACATTGAAAACAAGAATTCTCAAGAGTAGTTGCCGGTGTTCAAACCATTGAAATCCGATGAAAGAGGGAGTTGAGGGAGTTGATTTGTTCTCTCAACTCTCAGGTGGCACAGGCAACCTGGTAGCAAGCCTCAATACGACATCTGTGGCAGGATGCATCGAAATCATACAGGCTGCGGTACGGAAGATCTTGGGATGTGAAGCCAAGCTTGGAGATAGTTTCGTCCTTTGGCTGAACATTTGTTGTCTCGTGATGTTTTTCAACAATTCGAAAGCAGATAGCAAGACATCAATTCATATCAATTCTATTTTTCATTCAAGTCTTTGTTTTGTGTTGGTTCCTTCGTGTTTCTTCACGTTTCTTCCGTTGCTGAGGTGCAGTTAGGCTTGGACTCCATGTCTTCAATGTCCCTCCACAGCAACTTGTGCCAAGCTTCTGGCATAAGCCTTCCCTTCAGCATTTTCTACGACGAGCCGACGGTCCTTCAGGCTGCTAGCTTTCTCCACCGCTCTGCTGGTGGTGGTGACGAGGAGGAGGACCTGGAGTCCATGCTTCAGGACGCCGAGGCTCGGCGTTCTTATCATCTCAGCCAAGCCAAGCAGCTTCTCGCTTCAGTCGAAACAAGTGATGAAGAAGCGAAGGCTGCACGTTTGAAAGAGGCACTGGACATTTGTAGGAAGGCCGTTGAGGGTGCATCTGGCAGTGCATTGGTCGTTGCGCTTGCATTGGAGGCAGAAATCGGTACGCAATTGGGGTTGGAGGAGCTCGTTGCAACGACGAGGTCGCTGCTGGCTGCTTGTGAAGACGCTTATGGTGCTGATAGTCCAGATACGGCTGTAGCCTTGGGAAAGCTGATCCGGGCATCGAAAGCAGGAGAGGGAGGAGAAGCAGTTCGATGGGTCGCGGACTTTCAACGAAGGCATGAATCGTTCATGAGGGCGATTTCATGGGTGGAAGCTGCAGGCTTGGCCACCCTGGGAGGAAACTCCCAGTGCGTTGGCGCAGTCAGCGCGGTCAGCTTTGCCAATGTCACGATGACATTGAGAACTCTTAACTTGGATGACCAAGGCCTCGGAAAGCGTGTTGAAAGCATCATATGGCTCAGCACCCTTGGCAATTTAGAGCAGCTCGAAGTGCTGAAGCTGCGAAGAAACGCGATTTGTGAGCTCCCAAGTACCTTGGGCAATTTGCTGAAACTACGTGAACTCTACTTGACCAGCAACGCCTTGAGTGATTTGCCCCAGACCTACTCAAATCTCTCTAAGCTCCAAGTGCTTTGTTTGGAGAGGAATAGATTTGAAAGGCTGCCCAGAGTCATCTACGCCATTTCTCGAAGATTGCTTCAGCTCGGCTTGGATGAACAAGAGATCTGCGAGCCGAGCGAGCTCAAGAACCTTGAAGAGAATTCGCTGGAGAACTCCTTCTTCTCCATGGAGCTCTTTGCACCAAAGCTCTCTATCTTGCGTGGCCGAGCTGCTTCAAGTTCTTCTTCCTCCTTCCCAAGACTTGCGACAGATACAACTCGATCGAATTTGAACACCATTTTTTGGGCCAACAATGCTGAAGGAGATTCACCCTTGAGGCTTCCTAGCTTCAGTACAACTATCTTCGAGTCTTTGCGCTTGTTGGATTTGGCTCACAATCAGATTTCTTCAAGCCTTTGCTTCCTGGAAGGCTTGAGGAACTTGAGGGACTTAAGCCTTGCAGGGAATCGACTGCGTGAAGTACCGGGCAAAATCAGCAGTTTCTGTCCTTTTCTTCAACAACTATGGCTCCATGGCAACGATCTTGAAGAACTTCCAGAGGAGTTGGGGGATCTTCAGTCCTTGGCCATCTTGGAGTTACATCACAACAGACTCAAGTCTCTGCCAAAATCCCTTGAGAAGCTACAGAAGTTGAATTGGCTTTTTGCTCATTGCAATGAGCTAAAGGATCTTCGGATCATCAAAACCTTGAACTCTTTGCCCCGATTGAAGATCGTTGGCTTGGGTTGCAACCAGCTTCCTTTACAGTGTCTCGACTTCCAAAGCTTACAAGCGAGTTATGGTCTCGCTTGGAACTCGGGCATTTCGCCAGAAGACCAAGTTCTGACCGAAGCATTGACCACCATCGATTTGCATTGGGATCTACTGCTTGGTGGCAAAAGAAAAGAAACGCTCCAAGAGCTTCTGGTGGCGACTTTCTCAGCTCAGGGGGCACCGGTGGCACAGGGTCAAGCAGAAGTTCGCGCTTTGAGAGACTCCTTGTTGCCAGTGGACGCTTTATACATTTGCGATCCAGCCAATGCCTGGTTTTTGCAAGATCCCTCTGGCAATTGGAAGGGACTTCAGTGCCCTAGGAGCAAAGACGCTACTAGGGGCTCCTGGCATCGCTACTAGGAGCAAGGACGCTACCCCTGTCAACATCGCCCTCCGTGGCCATCCGTGGCGTTTTGAAGCCGCCTAGTTAGCTACCTAAAGCTACCAGCGATGGCCTCCAACCTACTAGCCTTTTTAGGCCGCTTAAAGCTGTTGAGGCCTTTTTCTGCCCAGGTACTTTGAGGAGAAGATCTCTGACATCACCTCCAGATACCGAAAAGTCTTTGCTTGGGGTGGATCTATGGGAGGCCGATCACATCGAGCAATGTAGACCTCAACGGTATTCTCGTCCACGATGCTGTGTAGCTACAATAGCTATTACCTACTTAGTAGCTACAGCTCCTACCTACTACTCCCCTGGCCTACAAAAATAAGAAAACAGCCACATCAAAGTTCTTTAATCGCTTTATATAAGTGGTTCATGTTTACGAAAGCGTCATGTTTTGCACGCATTGTGTCGAGGCTCAGCAGCGCTTCTTTTTGCCAATCTCTTTGACCGCGTCCATGCCTTCAGCCCACAAGTGGATTTAGCTGGGAACCCAGCCAGTATTTTTAACCTATTGTACACATTCAACAATCTCATACTTGTATTCAACATATCAACATTTCTGCACAATTTGTGACGTTCTGAAGCATGACTATGACTATGTTAACCTTTGCACTTTACACTTTGACATCACAAGATCATGAGCTCCTTCCCCGCCGGTTTCACTATTTCGGCGAGGAAAGCTGTTCTGGCTAGACTCCCGCACATGTCTTTTGAGAAGGTCGGCGAAAACTGTTCCAGGAGTCCCTAATTGGGAAGGTCGCAAAGCATGTTCCGGTTGGACTGCGAAAGGACGATGGAAAGGGAAGGTCGGCAAAGGACAACTTACCTAGAACCGGCGGTTGACAAAGCAAACTGCGGCAGGCGCACCATCATGGGCCTGCAGTACTTCTGTAGAGCTGAAGGGCCAAAGAGCCAATCGTACAACGTGCATTTTATGTAGTTTTGATTCCCGTGCTCAATGCTCACTGTATAGTAAAGTTGTGACTGAGGAGCCTAGTGGTGTTCTTTCTGGCGCCGACATTGGCTTATTTTGCAACTTTTTGGAGCTTGTTGTTACTTCTTTTTGGGAGGCCATCACTCTTAGGTTGGAGGCCATTGCACTTAGGTTCCTTTTGCTATTAGGTCGGAGGCCATTCCTATTATTTGTTTCCACTTATTTTTTCTTCCTTTGCACCTTTTCGGACTTTTTTAAAGACACGTCGATGTTCTTAAAACGTCTTGCCTGTGTCAAAACACAAAGCTGATACAAAGCTGATTGTAAACAAGATAAGACCCACACAGGTGAAACATGGTGAAACTATGGTCGACAATTAAGTCATGCATGCGGTCCCATCAACCGTGAGAGACAACCCGGCCACCTCACCATCAGGATCATGGAACAATCCATTGGAGGTGTGATTGTGCACAATCTGCCTGGCAGATATGCAGAGTTGCATGCCTGACAGGAATTGAGCCGACTGCCCATTGACAAGCACGGACAGTTCAATTCTCTTGGCATGGCCTATTTTCTCGGTTCTTGAAGAGTGTACTTTAGACAGCCTACAATGACAATCACCCAAAGTTAAGTGATCCCAAACCATTAGTAGGCAGGCAACGGCTTTGCAACGTGCCTGATACAAAGAAACCAAGGCAGAGCAACATGTGTGTGGGTGTTTTTCTTATAACGTAGCGTTCAACGTGACATGCTTAAGCTTTTTGGTGTCATACCTAATCTTGGTCTCTGACAAGCACATGAGTTGTTCACATAAACGAAGGTCAACGACCCGCAAAGGTCTGCCTTCCCGATGGGCCACTACATCCCTTTGCTCCTAGTAGCGATGCCAGGAGCTACTAATAGCTTCGTCCTTGCTCCTGCTCTGGGGATGGGGACTTCCAATCCCTTTGTTCCTAGTAGTAAGGCCAGGAGCCCCTAGTAGCTTCTTGTTACTACTAGTAAGGCACTTGTTACTAGAAGCGATGCACTTGTTCCTAGTAGCGTCCCTTTGTTCCTAGTAGTAAGGCCAGGAGCGCCCCCTAGTAGCGTCCGATCGCTCCTAGCCTTCCCGATGGGCCACTGGAGCTTCTCGTGTCATTGGAGTTCTCGTGGGCACTGTTTATGTGGAGCCTCAAGGAAGTTCATGTCTTGAGTTGACAGGTGCTTGACCTACAAAAACGTTTGGGTCAGCTCTCAGGCAATCCAAAACATAGTGCCAGGCTTCCGGACTCATGTTGGCATTTGTCATCAGTTCACCAACTGCGGCAACTGCGACCTGTAGTTTCACATGAACTCAACATTTCAAGCTTGTCATTAGCCCTGCAGACCAAAAAAGCTAACCGTGTTAAACAAGTTAAGGCTCACCACCGCTTTCCAACGGGTCCGACATCTAAGAAACACTGTTGGTCAACAACACATTCAACGCGACCTTCAATGTGAACACTTTGCTCGACCACTCGAAGTTCTACCCATGCATGACCATTTCTTGAATGAAACAAGGCTGAAATCTTACTTAAGATATAACTTATCTTATTTGTGCCACACGTGGTTCTATTTGTAGAACTTAAGTGCTTCCAATAAGCTCAAGCAAGAATAATATACACGAATGTAATTAACTGATTGTTCAAGAAGGCGTACTCAAGACCACCCGGCCAGTGGGTCGCCTTATTTTGCTGAGATTGGCACAGTATTTATTTCAATGAAAGGTCGGCAAAGGTTGGAATGGCAAAGGACAAGCTGACTTGACCAGGAGGTGAGCGAAAGAACAACACGGACATGGTCACATGGTACAGGATATGGCGCAGGGGGTTGTTGAGGGCAAAGAGTGTCAAGCTACGAAAAGCAAAAGCGAGGGCATGGAATCAAGCAGATGGGTCATGACAAACTAAAAGCAATTGCCTCCAACCTAAGAGCGATCACCTCCAACGAACTCTGCACAAAAGCACTGGCTTCATTCTGGCCAATGGTTGGCAAGGCTTACACTTGGCCGAGTTTTGCGACGCAAGATGTGCGAGAACAATTCCGATCGCGTGTGCAGGACGCTTCATTCTTTTTTGGCTCGCAGAGAAGTACTGTTTCCTTGAATTGGTTAAACTTAGATACCTTGGTTGCTGTTACCTTGAGAAGTACTGTTACCTTGGTTGCTGCCAGTTATTGTACAAGATAAAAGGGAGAACAACGAAGCAACCGGGAAAGGAACAGCGAAGTGTGGTTCAAAGAACCAAGTCCGCAGGACGCAGTCTCATCCTGCCGTGGGCCAGTGCACCTCCACGTTGGTGCAGAAAATCACACGGATAATCGACATGCAGCAGGGAGGCTCAGTGGAACAAGAGGACTCTACTAGGGGCTCCTGGCCGTACTATTAGGAGCAAGAACGCTACTAGGAGCAAAGGACATCGCTACTAGGAGCAAAGACGCTACTAGGGAGGCTTAGTGAAACAAACAAATTCGAGAGTCAATTAGATCATGACGTTGATGGTTTGGAATAGGACAGGGGTCAGGTATGGCAAGCTGAAACAAACAAATTGGGGGGGAACAAGGATTGTTGGGGGTACTTCGATTTGGTTCACGGATGCTTGAGAATCCTCGCCTTCCTTCCTCATTGAGGCTTCTTGGTTGTTCTTTTCTGAGGCTGCTTTGCCACAAGCAAGAGTTCATTTGCACGAGACCGCAAATCACAATACCATGAAGCATGTAAAGCAGCGACTTGGCAAGACAACTGCTTGGCAATGATGACACTCTTGAAGCCTAGAAACATATAGAGAGTAGACTCGAGTAGACGTGTTTGAAGGAGAGGCAAGCTGTTACCCCTCCTGAAGTTCGAGGCCGGGACGTGCATAAAACTTCCATATTCCTTGCCTCTATTCATTCTGGTTTCTATTTTTGGGGCACCATTTTTCTTCTCCCGGGTGACGGTGTGACTGGTTTGGCTGGAGGTTATGGATTTGCTGACGAGTTGATGTCCCAGTTGGAGGTGGCCGAACTGAAAAACAGCAAAACAATGACAGTGCTGATGACACCACAAGCACATCTCTAAGAATGCAGCAAAAGGGTTCATAGCCAGTGACGTTCAGTAGTTGTAGGGGTATCATTAAATGCATTGTTTGCAGCAAAGCTTGTGTAAGGATGTTGATCCTTTATTGGTTCAAGAGTTTCTGTAAAGCCAAGACGCCTGGTCGACTCTAAAGGTATACTGGATGCTTTTGCTACCAGTACTAGTAGGAGATGTTCCTGGCCTTAGGCTGCTTTTGAAGCAAAGCTGGCCGAGCAGTGCTCACTCTGGCACTTGTTTCTACTAGCGAACCTTGTTACTACTAGTAAGGCACTTGTTACTACTAGCGTGGCACTTGTTTCTACTAGCGAACCTTGTTACTACTAGTAAGGCACTTGTTACTAGAAGCGATGCACTTGTTTCTACTAGCTTCTTGTTACTACTAGTAAGGCACTTGTTACTAGTGGGTTGTTCAGAAGTCCGAGTTCAAGCCACTCTGGTAGCGTCCTTGTTCCGTTCGTAGCGATGCCCTTGGTTCGTAGTAGCGAACCTTGCTCCTAGTAGTACGGCCAGGAGCCCCTAGCAGCGTCCAATTGAACATTAGACCGAGATCCAACATTTCCGATTGTTTTGAGGGATGCATGCTGGTCTCACGTGCAAAAGCTGTTGAGAGCGTGACTTTGTGAGGCTAATCACATGTGTGTAAAGTCTCGTGAGGAACACCATTTTGTTCTCCACAGACAACAGAGCCATTAATGAATTACACCTGACGGAAGTCATTTCTGGTAGATATGGTCTTTGTTTTAACAAGAATAAGCGTGCTGCAATCCAAATGGCTCGGTCCATTTCGACAACCAGGAACCGCTCCCAAAAAAAGATTTGAGACCACTTACCTAGGAAATGAAATAAACCGAGAAGCCAATATCTGGCACGAAATTCTGAACAAAATGCAAGAAGTAAGAAAGACTTGGTTTGGATTACTGCCATATTGGAAGGCGACGAATGCAAATTTGAAATGGCAACTGCTAATCTTCGATGCTGCAATCAAATCCAAAGTTATCTATGGTTTGGAGACAGTTCATCTCACACAGGCCATGATGAAAAAAGTCGACGCCTTCCAGTTGCGTTAAGCAGTATTCCAGAAATGTACAGAAACTGTTTTCCCCCAGGAAGACCAAGTTACTTGGGCATGTGCTTAGAGCCTCGGATGACCCTTTAAGACAGGTATATTTTTTGAACCTAACACCGCAAACAGGGTGGACTATGGTAAACGGTGCTGTGGTCGTCCTAAGCAAAACTGGCTGCATTATGCAAAGAAAACCGCTTATGAAAGGAATTTGCTCGGTGATTACACCGAATCTGTAGAACATGATTTCCGAATCTATAATGCAGCCTTAAACCGAGAGTTTTTTTATGTCCTTCCGTGGTTCCTTGGCTACGCCAACGCCTTGCTTCTCTTGACGATGTTTCATTGCAAGGTATGGCTGGGAAAAAAAACGTTTTTTTCGATGTTTATAAGCAAAAAAGAAGAAGGATCGGATTTCTTTTCATTGGTCAAAAGCATATGTTTGTGCCAAATGCGAAGAAAATAGCTGAAGTGAAGTTTTTCCATCTTATTTGTTTCTTCTGGCCTCATTTTGGCTAGTGTCGCTCTGAACGGGACTTCACCAGTTTCTAGATCCTTTTCTGTTTCTTGTGTCTAGATTGTGTCGCTGCCGCGAAGTTTGGCAGTGTATTTTGTGTGTTCCTTTATGTGTTTGTAATTGGGTCCTGTATCCCCATTCCTAGCAGTGCTGCAGTACGTACTGTCTATTTGTTGCTTGCGGGTTTGCAGTGTTGTGCAGCTGAAGCACTTACGGTTAGGCCGCGGTTGGGCCAGAGTTTGTAGTCACAAACTATGTCAGTCTATGCTATTTTGAGGGTTCCGATGTCCATCCTGCTTGACAAATAAGGTGCGCTCTCTCTCTCTCTCTCACTTTTTGAGTCGGGAGAGTTCATTCTGCTCATTTTTTTGAATAAAGGAATAAAGTGGAAGCAACATGATCACTTGATCACTGCCAGGCTCTAAGCGGCTTGTCAAGCTCCCTTTCTTTCTTTCTGGTGCCAAAGGTGTGCTCACTAACCGGCACTAACTCAAAGCTCTAGGAAAAAATCTGTCACACCTGTAGGCACCCCTAAAGGCCAGTATCTCTCAGTACAGTTTGCGCAGCAAGTAGACAATAAGAACCACACAAAGTCATTTAGTATCTAATTAGTAGCGAAGTCCAGGTCAGGCCTGGTGAGAACTTGCTTTTCAATAAATACTCATCAGAATTCAGAGTTTCTAGCCGCATGTAGGATATAAGTCAGCTGTTCATTGGATTGGGAAAAGTCTATATGTGGGCAAAGAATATCCCAAACAAAATTGAGCGAAGAATCAAGCCACTTTTTTCTGGGCCTACCCACACGATGGAACATGACTTCAAAAGGAATGGCCGAATTCCCCAATAGCCATGCTATGGGGTCTTGCAAAACTAATAGGCGGACGGGCGCCGTCGGGTCACCGTCAGAGCTGGTGGGCGGATGGTGTCCCGGTCATGTTGTGATGGTGTCCCGATCATGTTTTGATGGTGTCCCGGTCATGTGATGCTGGTGTCCCGGTCATGTTGTGATGGTGTCCCGATCATGTTTTGATGGTGTCCCGGTCATGTTGTGATGGTGTCCGATCATGTTTTGATGGCGTCCGGGTCATGTGATGCTGGTGTCCCGGTCATGTTGTGATGGTGTCCCGATCATGTTTTGATGGCGTCCGGGTCATGTGATGCTGGTGTCCCGGTCATGTTTTGATGGTGTCCCAGTCATGTTGTGA